AAAAAAAATGTAGTCATCTCCAGACTCTATTTTCACTCCATTTCATGCTTTTTTTATCTGCATACGGATTTTGGTACTGTTTATTGTAAATAGCGTGGAATAGCGTAAGAAGTTTTAGCATGATCCTAAAACAATTTTGTTTCATTACCATCGTACTAAGATAGCCATCGTTCTAGACATTTACCGTCTGGTTTTTGTATATATCAGTTGATTTCCGAGGGGAATTGTCCTGTACCAATTGGAAAAACGGAGCAGAGCTCTAAAATAATCGTATGATCATCAAATTCTATGGAAGCAATAATGAAATATTGATGTTCGTAAGAAAAATTGATCGATTGAAAATAGTTTTAAAATTATGCAATTTTAGTGTGCCATTTAATAGCGCGATATTTGATACAACAAAATCCAAAGATTTTTATTTGCTGCATTCACGGAAATTTTGTTCTGAACTTTAGAAGCATTTTTTTTCGAATCTAGAAATTTTATTTAAAAAAATAACGAATAGTATATTTAAACATTAAGAAATTTTCCAAGATTTTTCAACTTACTAGTTATATCATTCCGTTTCTTCAGGAAATGGAGAATGAAGAGATGAACGAAGAGCAGCTCTACGAGGCCTTCGATAAATTCTTGAAGATCAAAATCTCAAAAAAAGAATTTGGGCATCTCTTCAAGCAGATGGACTCGATGCGAGATGAGCGAATAAGTTGGGATGAATTTATTTCGTATCTACTTCTGGAGTTCAGACTGACAGGAACTGCAGAACTCAAGTCTCAGCCGATGGAGCTACCCTTGAAGGGTCTTCCAGAGTTGCTTTCTACACGTCATCGCTCTGCTATTTGTCGTATAATATTCTCTCCTCATTTAATTTCGATGAGCAACAGAAGTTCGAGTTTTCAGAGTGGAAGGTACCTCACGGTCTCCAAGGATGGAGTCATCAACTACTGGTCCTTGGATTTAGTTCATCAGAGGAGCGTTAAATCAATCAATCGTGAGCAGAGCCTTGAAATCAATTATTGCGGAATTTATTAAAAAATTGAAAAATATTTTAAGCTGATTTCAAGGTTCAGTCGACTATTATTACGGATATAATTGCAATGCCGGATGTACAGGTGGTCTGTACCAGTTCTGTCGAGAGAGATCTCAGATTTTATGACACTGCAGCTGAAAAATTCGATCTACGAATTCGAGTAATTACTTTTCAATTCACCATTTCCAGGAAATATCTCAGTAACCTATTGGGCGCGCTAGTTACTCCACATGTCATTGAATCTAATCAGTTTGATGCTGATTACAAACGTCAACGTTAGACATTTTTTTCTATACCAGGCAGGTTGCGCGAAGTTGATATTTGAATAATTTTTTGGAATTCTTCAACATGGTGGACGATAATAGCACAGTTGAATCCAAAGGTCTCATAATCGATGCAAACTTCGAAATTTGGAGTGTGACATTGCATTCAGAAGGAAAACAACATTCAATAATTTCTTAAAAACGAGTATTTCTTGAAACTGGGTATTTGCGAGGATAATATAGTTGGAGTTGGATTATTGTAGGTTTTATTTAAACAGATTACTAATTTTTTAAAGACGACACCTTTAATCCGACACATTCTCATCAATAACTCTCGATCAGTTCGATGAACTTG